GACTTAGGTCACTCCTTTTGCCTCCCTTGAGCCCCCTGATGAATCCCAAATGCTTCCAAAAGCTCCATGTGATGCTCCAATACCTAAAAGGGACTCATGTATGCAAAATGCAACCTAAACATGGCTAGAACTTAACCTACATGATGAAAAGGTATGCAAAAGAGTAGATAAAACAATGCAATAATGCAAGACATCAACTATAAATATGTGTTAAACTCTTTAATGAATCTTATCTTGTATTTTCTCTCTAAACCTAAGAACTTATTGGTGAAAGATCATAACTTTATCTTCTTTTCATCTTATTTTCACAAGTTTGTTGAGTAATCTTGATCTCTAATCATGTTTAACCAACAATCAATCATTGTTGTTAGGTTAATCATGTGTATTAGTGAGTAGATCCACTTTAGATTCATGGGATATGTTAATAAGGGTGATCAAGTGTAGATATAAGGTGTTAGATCTTTGTGTTTCCTTTTTAGATGAGTGATTTTAATGCTTGATTAATGTTGGCCTCTTTAATCATGATCATTAATCTTTAACCACCCATAAGGTGTTTGTTTAAATGTCTGAACCAACTCATCTAGCTTTAATACTACCTAGCCAATGATCATTTGTATCTAGGGGTTTTAGATAGTTATTAAACTTAATCCTAATGATTGCTTGAATTAATTAAGCCAATGACCATTTGTGTTTGATTAATGAAAGCAAATGAGCAATTGTCTAGACCTAGANCAATGATCATTTGTATCTAGGGGTTTTAGATAGTTATTAAACTTAATCCTAATGATTGCTTGAATTAATTAAGCCAATGACCATTTGTGTTTGATTAATGAAAGCAAATGAGCAATTGTCTAGACCTAGAATTTGCTTAGCTTTGTTGTTTAGACTTAAGGAAACACTTTGATTGAAAGCTTGCTATTTTTAGATTGAAACTTGATCACCTAAACCAAATACATATTCCCATGAGTCTAGCCTTCACTAATTGAAAGAAAGCTTTGATCTTTATTGCTTATTTAGTAGTCTCTTACTTTAAAAACCATCTCAATATTGATAGCACTTAAATTAAGCTTTGTCTTGCTATTCCTTTGGTTTATGATTACTTTGAACTGGTTTGACATCTTTTATATTATAACATTAGATTAGGAATCTAAAAACTCCTATCATCAAATTGGCGCCGTTGCCAAATTCTAAGTTGATTGTAACATTGGGATTTAGTCACTTGCTTGAGACTAAGTCATTTTTCTTTTACTTTGTTACTGATTCTCCTTCTTCCTTTTCCTTTGAATCTCAGGTGTATGAACTTAAGGAGCCAAGGCTCATCAAGTCTAGTGCCAAGAGTTGAGGACATCAGAGCATTTGAAATGGAGATAGCAAGGAGGAGAAGGGAAGAAGAGCAACAGGCTCATTTACACAGATTGGGGTTAGTGATGGATCAACATCACCAGCAGCCTCAAGATGAAGAGGGTGTAGGTCTAGGAGCTGACAACCTAAGGCCACAACACCCACAGCGCCAAGCAAGGACCATTGGTACTCATGATCAACCTAACATCAATGGTCAAAGAGCTGGTATTAGGGCTCCAGCTGTGGCAAATAACAACTTTGAGATCAAGTCCAGCCTCATCAATATGATCCAACAAAACAAGTACCATGGTCTTGCCTTGGAAGATCCTCTTGATCATTTGCATAACTTTGACCAGCTGTGTGGCACAACCAAGATCAATGGAGTCTCTGAAGATGCCTTCAAGCTGAGGTTGTTTCCCTTCTCTTTAGGAGACAGAGCCCATATTTGGGAGAGAAGTCTCTCAAGGGATTCTATTGAAACTTGGGATGCTTGCAAGAAGGCTTTCCTTACCAAGTTCTTCTCTAGCTCAAGGACTGCCAAGCTACGGAATGAGATCTCTGGTTTTACTCAAAGGAATCTTGAAAACTTTGGAGAAGCATGGGAAAGGTTCAATAGCTACATCTCTCAGTGCCCTCATCATGGCTTCAACATGGAGAGTTTGCTTAGTACATTCTACAGAGGAGTTTTGCTTAAGTATAGGTCCCAACTTGACACTGCTAGCAATGGATCCTTCTTGGGCAGAACTGAAGATGAAGCTTTGGAGCTTGTAGAGAACATGGCTAAGAGCGATTCAGTCTACAATGATGATTATGATAGAAGCAACAGAGGCAGTGGAGGTGATGATCAGAACACTAAGAAGGAGTTGAAAGCCTTACAAGACAAGATTGATCAGCTCATTTCAGCTGGAGCTAAACAAGAGAAAGTTAACTTTGTTGGTGAGCAGAGCCAAGGAGAGAATGCTGTGGTTAATGAGGTTGATGGTATAGAAGGACAAGAGGAGTTGTGCTTTGTCAATGCTAATGGGACATGGTACAAGAAGGAGCCTAACTTTCAGTACAACAACTACAAGCAAAGGTCCTACTCCAACAACTAACAAGGTGGTTACCAAGGACAACAAAATCAAGGCTACCCCTCTTAAGGAAATCAGTCTACACAAAACCAAGCTGGTTCATCCACTTCTTCTCCACAAGAGAGTAGTACTGATGCTATGTTGAAGCAAATCTTGGAGTCTCAAACTAGAAGTGAGAAGCATGTGGGATATGAGCTGAAAAATCGGGACTTTAATCTCTAATAGGACATAACCCTCAAAATTATTCTCTTACAACCTAAACTAATCTATATGACCCTAATAGATGGTAAATTACTATAAAGCCATTAATGAATCTTTTATCTCAACCATTAGATCAAAAATATGAGAACCACATGATTTGTTTCTTTCTTCTCTCCTTTTCACGTGAAACTCATTCTTTTCTTCTTCTTCCTTTCACGTCAACAACAAAACCTTAATCTTTTCAATTCTTCTCTTTAATTCTTTACCAACCAATCTCTTCTTCATCAAATTATTTGTTTTCTAGAGGTTAGATGACGAGCAGCAAAACCATCGACAACAACTCGTGTATGTTTCTCAATAAATGGACTTGGATAATATTATGTCTCTCTTTCTTTCTCTCTCTCATACGAAACGTACAACTTGTTAAACTGGTACAACCATTAACAATGTATACAACATGTATACTGGTACAACTAGTGTTACTGATGGTTCATACGAAACATACAACTAGGTCAACTAGTATATCTATTAGTAACATATGAAATAGGTTTACTGGTATAACACATAAGTAAAAAATGTATAACAAGTATTACTATTATAAATGTTATATCGCGAGTAACATAAAAACAAGTATAAGTGGTACATCTTGTATGAATGTCATTAGTGCTCCGTATATAATTAGTATAACTTGTACAACTACTAAGTGGTGATTTATTATGTTTTTTCAGATAACTATGGATAATAATCGAAGTGTGCTGATATATTCTGATCATGTGGGTTGTTATTCAGACGTGCGAGATGAAGAATGATGAAATTAAATATAGTGAAGTTAATGACTTAAATATACATATTATAATGTCGTGG